ATCAGATCTTTTGCGAAGTCAATTCACTTTGTTTGTGTAGAAGTAGCACTGTTAACATCCTTCACTACTTTTTCCTGGGGAGGGCTATACTTTAGCTCTGAGGTGTGGGAAAAGGTCATTTCCATCTAAGTGATGGAAGGATACTCACTACACTCCTGAAGCAGAAAACCACTAGAATGGCAATATGCAGACTTCTCTCGTGTGTGTGCAAACACACACACTTGAAGAATTGAAACTGAATGTCTAAATAATTCCAGCAGTTCAAGTTGGGAGTTTCCCAATATGGGTGACAAATACAGTAAGAATTTCAGTCAGACAACAGAAATTCTCTTTTAAAGACAATAAGTAGTCAGCCTGGATTAAAAAGAATTTAGTTTTATTTGGACAAAGGCACACAGTCTTTATTGTTAGATTAAACACGTATCTTTTACCTGCAATAGTAAGAATCTCAACATCATTTTTAATCTGATATCACAAATAATATCACTAGTCAATGTTTAAAACCAGAATAGATATTTAGTTATAGTTTAATGATGCTTCAACTTTTTAAATGCATAAAAGTGATATTAAAAAAAAAATTACTCCACATTATTATGTGATTATTTTCAGAGGAGAACTAAACTATTACAATTCTTCAGAACAATCACAGCTAGCCATGAACAAGCACAGTTACACCAGAAATCCAGAAATAAAAGCAAAACGATCAAATTAAGAAGGCAATGTACATCTGCTACAGTACAAGGAGAAGTGGCACAAGATTTGCTACAGTTAAGTCAAAATACTTGGAAGTTCATGAATGCTCCTAAAATACATATCGAGGTACTTTTTGTCCTGGATATATTTAAGTAGTCCTAAAAAACACACTTAATAACAGAAGCAGAAATGCTGGTGTCAACACCTTTTGCGGGTATTGACATCAGAATGACTGGCTTGGAACAGATCTGTAACGAACTTCTAGATCAAATTAAGTGACAAGATCCAGAATTAATTAGTTTTATTTTAAACAAAACTTCTGAGTGTAATCCTTAGCCTCTTAGCAGCTGCAAGTACCAGCATGACTGTGGATTTTGGCTTTTTGTTGTTTGTTTTTTTTCCCCACTAAGTTGTTAAGTCATGGCTTGCAATGGTAAATGCTCCAACTAAAATAGTTGTTTATTAAAAAAATCAGATGTTTATGATCGTTAATACTGATGCAAATAGACTGACTCAACCGACAACTTCATAAAGGGTCTGATCCCAAGAAATACTGACACTCGGTCACACGTTAATGGTACCCACTTATTACTCGTGTATTTGTTTCCCAATAATTACTTCTCCTCTTGGCTACTAACACGATTTGTTTCAAGCTGGAAACAGACACAAGGAACTCTCAGAAAACCAGAAAATAACTGGAGTCAGTGTAACTCTGCGCAATGTTAAGAAGTAATTTGATCTCCAGTATTGCTTTTGGTTTCTCTTATGGTAGCAAGTTGCCAAGCTGTAATGACACCAGACAAGACACAAGACATCAAGAGCTTTGATGTAGGTTAATCAGTTGCTTCCAACAAACTAAAACCTCTGTATTTTTTGTACTGCGCATGCCAATCACAAATCTTTCCACAGCTAATTCTCAGTACAGCTGAACTAAAAAAAAAAAAAAAAAATATATATATATAATCATTAGGTTATACCTACAACTTTGGAAGTCATTGATTTATTTCTTATTACCTTCTTTTCTCTACCACTCAAATTCAGAGCCAATCTAACTCAGAAATAATAATCTGCAAATGTGTAAATACAAATCTGGTAATTAACAAAGAAAAATTTTGCTTTAAACACAGAAGAAACACTCATTATCAAATAAAGACTGTACCCTTTCAGTTAATACACACATGAAGAAATTTACAATGGTCATTTAATTACTTTAAAAATTAAAAATGAGCCTTTTGGAATCTCCTTGTAAAAATCACCAACATTTATATATGGATGAAAAACCTCTAGGAAATAAATCCCACAAACATTAGTGTGTATTATCGACAATAAAAGTAATACTGCACGACTTTAACCTTCAGTTCTGCATGTAGTACCTGTTTTCCATAAAACCGTATGTGACCGTAGCAGGAGTATCGTTTTGCACTATCAAAACAGGCATTATGTGCTGTTCATTGTTAAAGTATCTTGAAAAAAAACCTGCCTTAGTTGCTTCAGTCAATGGAGTACTTCTCTGTTTAGACTTCCTTAGATGACCTAAGTTACCCAGAAACACAGAAGCTAGAACCAAGTGGTTTGGCATGAATTTTAAGATATGAAAGTTCAGAAATCTCCAAGAGACTTACCCATACAGCTCATACTGCATACTAACACACACACAAAACCCTACTAAATTAATTTAGCTTAGGTACACTAATACCCAGACTCATTCAGGAATTATACAGCCTTCCCAAGTAAGGGGGTTCCCACTTACAGCAGACTCGCTGCTTGGATATCACACAATTGAGAACAATTGAGATGTTGGAGCGGTGAGGACATGGAGGTGGGTTAGTGAATGGCTGGTAAGGTAGCCAATTTAACACCTTCAAATCACCTAGGATAAATACTTACTCTATGTTTGAGCTTGACTATAAAGGCACGCTACTGAAAAAAAATATAATGGCAACTAACGACTAGACAATTATCAACATTCTACATAATACATCATCTTAGAGTCTACTAAACTTCTCCCAAGAGCCTGATAATGTAAGTGGTAATGAATTGCTATTTTTTCCAAAAAGCCATTTAAATCTTCCAAAATATCAGCAGAAGTGTTATGCTTCAAGATACAATTTGTGGGAATTTTTAAAAACATGTTTTAAAAGTTTTACATTTGTATAATAATATACAGCAACAATAATGTCCTGAGGTACTTTATCTGTGAGTTCCCAACGGTTCCTTTGTTCACACATGCTGCCTGAAGCATTACTGGTTTCAAATATTTGGAAACTTCCCTCGTCAGTACATCCTCAAGACAGGGTATCAGACGTACTTCTGCCAAATATTCCTGTCAGCTAAATGTCCAGGTTAAAAAAGAAATTCTAATTTTGGGGTTTCTGCTTTTATATTTTAGTCAATATACATGTAACCAAGAATAGGTAATATGACAACAAGTAATTCTTGCTTATGTTCTTTGCTGTTGTTGTAAAATGTATTTGAAATCACTTACAACTTCATATTAATATCTGTGTTCTGCATTAACTCCTTAATGATGCTTCAATATGTTTGACATCCAATGCCATAAATCAATATGTGTATGTCCTACCTAGTACACAGAGAAGGAAATCAGATGTTCTTCCAGAGAAAGTTTCATATTTATTCAGAAGGTGTACATTTCAACAGATGTTTTTATTATTTTACATTTTTAATTTCATAAAACTGATAAATTAAGGGACAACTTACTGTTTGAATAATATTAAAATCAATATTCAGTGTATATAGTAGTTCAGAGGGCAAACAAATTCCCACTGCCATTTAAACCCCTGAGTAAAGGTTTTAAATGGTATCCAATGGGTTCTCATCCACCGTGAAGGGGGGTGTGTGGAATCAAAGCATCCTGGAATATAAGTGTCTTGAAAAATACTTTAAGGCTTTGAAGAGTTCCTCCTCATTAGAATACACAGAGGCAAAATAGCCTATTCAATACCCAAAACAATCCACGGCGTAACAATAATACCTGGATTTGAAATTTAAGAAACACAGTCATTGAATACACCTTATGAAAACAACTGGCAAATCTGAAAAGGTGATCACTATTATACATTAAAATTGCCTTTAAGTTTTAAGGTAACAAAAACTATATAAACACAACTTTCTGCCACCCAGCTTCAAAACCGTCAAGAAAAAGCCTGGACTCTTCAAAATATTTTCATTTCTAGTGTCCTGACTCAAATGACACGTATTCTGATCAGGAATGAAAAATGTGCTGTATTAAGATGAAATAAAGTACATCAAGTTTCAGCCTAACAAGAATTTTAAAAACAGAACTGTTAACTGAGGTCTGTGGTTAACGTCAGATGAGAATTCTGTACACTACCATGCTATAAAAGAATCAGTACGCAGTCGTAACTGGATTGTAACAGCTAAACAGGCACTTTTTAAACACCTTGTTAGTTTAAAATCAAGGATAAAAGGTTTCTTTAAACCATTGGAAGTTTCAAAAGGGCACCAATCACTTTTATGCCTCTCTACTTTGTTACGTACAAAAATTTTCACCCAGCCTAAAAAATGAAAACAACAAAAAACTCATATTGGTTACGATCACTACAAATTCTAAGGTGATAGCCTTAAGTAGAAGGGTACTGTAAAAGTGGTTTTGATAAAATGAAAGCTCCAGGCTTTGTCTGAATTCTCAACACAGCAAACAAACTTACTGTCTGATAGCAAACTTGTATTTCATTGCTAAAGCAAAAGCCTTAAAAGAAACTGCAGTGCAGAACTTCAATATGATTCTAAAAACTCATTGACGGTGATACCACAGGGATTTATTGGGTTTTTTTGGTGGGGTTGTTTTTTTTAAAAATAAAACCTCTCTCCCTCTGCCAGAATACTGTTATACAGAAAAAAAAATGTTACTCTCTACTATTGTCAGTCTTTCAGATACAGTTAAAAAAAAAACCCTCAACATATAAGAGTTTTAGAGTAAGTAATCAATCCACAAAATGTTGTACATCAGTAATAAGGCATCCACTTTACAACTGTTTAAACAAAAAAGGAAGTATTTACCAAAACATATATTTTGGACCTGTGTAAACAAAACTTCTATGTATTGCTTCCATTCATTTCAAAAATATACACCCATATGGACTGAAAGTGATCCTGGTGCTATGAATTTTAAATTACTGTAATTTATCCAGATGTAATCTGAAGATAGAAAATCCAAATATTTTTGAACTTCATATTTTGAAATATGTCTAAAAATGTAATTATGTTAAACAAAGCTAAAAATATACCCCAAATTTGATGCCATTTCATTGAATGAAGAAGAAAGTACTATGAAAATAAACATTCATCTGGTATCCTAACAATAAATATAAAGACAGTTATTATAACATACTGCAACACAGGAAGTATTATTATATTGACCTTAACGTTCAATCAGTAGTTTTTAAATCTTTCCTCACTGAGGCTTGAATCTTCTACCTTGTCAGCTGTCCAACAACTTTTAAGAGGGTTTTATTTTCTTGCTTCAATTGTTCATTTTCATCTTCTATATCATCTAGGTCCTGTGAAAGGAAAAAGAAAAGAAAACATTTCTCAGGACAAAAATACTAACTCTCAATTAGTAGCAGCAAGAATTCATCATCTTTGCTCTGAAATGAAGTTGGGGTTGGGAAGAATTAGCGCCATGGTAGCTACCCTTAAATCTGTTAACCTAGCCATTTTCCAAGTGTTAATGTAATTACAAAACATTAATAATATATTTCCACATACAAGCACCTTTAAATGAAAACATAATCAAAACTGAAGCTACAGCAGGAAAAACAAAATAGGATGAGCATGATTATTTTACTGGCATATACAGAGAGTGTATTAGTCAGCTATTGCTTCTGCTCCACAGACTTTGCAACTCTCCCGCTCACACACGCACATCACTGGTTACTACTGCAAACAGACCTGCTTTGTGTTCTAAATTAAGTATCAAAATTTTCAAAAAAACTATTGCCCGTCTTTTTTTTTTTTGCCCTGTGAAAAAATTAAAAGGCATTTTGTAACTTCTGTCTAAACTGCTACTGAAAGAACAGAGAGCATACACAGTAATAATGGGCGCTTATAATAGATTGCTCCCACCCCAAATGCTCATCTCTCTTCTACCAATTACCATATTTACCCAGTTCCCATTTCACTTCTTCACTTCCTACCATGTCTTTTCAAGCCTTTGAAGAGTAAACCAGTGAAATCGGCTGTTTAATGTAAGCACTACTTCACTAAAAAGAATTTTACTGTACCAAAAAAACCCCATGAAATAAACAGAATGAGAACAAAACCAATGAAGAAACAGAAGACTGACCTCAAGGACAGCCCATTAAGGGGAAAGGAGGAAGAACCAGGATTCTCATTAGAGATCTTAGATGCCTTTTGACTGAAGTCTGCAAAACTCTACTGTTGCCATGCTAGATTAAACCTAAAACAGTAGTGAAGATCTTCTCTCTCTTGTTCCTTTAAGTTATTAAGCGGTGTTTGGCACAGCCAGCCTATTTTCTTATTTCTTTGTAGGGCAGCCATTCCAGAAGTGCATGCTAAAGATGTTGTGTTTAATCTGTAGAATGGTTTTTAAAAGCCTCTTCAGTTTGCCAAGCCAAAATCCATACCGCCATACCTTTGCCATTACTTTATTTTTTTTGTAATGCAGAGTCGAGAAATCATAAGCAGAAATTCCTCTTCGCCTCACAGAAGTAATGCTGCATCACAGTAGGAATGACTTCCAGGAAAAGCATTTGACCACTCTGACGTAACACATACAAATTACTTAAACATCTAGACATGGCAAGTTTTGATGGCTAGCTACTATAAATACCGTTTACTATGTAATTCTAAGAAACACATTTTGTTTTCTCTCTTGTGCAGTTCAGATCAATAATCAGATGGCAGGGTCAACACTTTTTCAATAAAATGGTATTTCATTTTGTTCAATACAGATAATATTGGGTTTGAACTCATCGTTAACCTAGCCATCAGATGCCTCAGTTAAAGCTCACCTAAAAACCTTCTGTTTAAAATACCTGTAATTTGCACAAAGTAAAATATTAAAGGTTTGTGAAATGTTTATGCTGCAAAAATAACATTCCAAAGATTACTGCAAGAAAGAGTCTCTTGAATATGAGCCAGGAAAACTAACTCTTGCAGTTTAAAATATCTATAGAAAAAAATGAACCAAAAGATGCAGGTGGCTTTTGCCACTCTGAAATTTAAAGTTTCTTATTACAACACTAGTTTATCTTTATTAGTACAAAACATGCAATAGCAGGAAAGCTTGGACTTCACACACCCAAGGAACTGGTAACTACAAAACTGAGACTAACTGGATTGTAAATATTCACTGACAGACTTTCTCCAAACATACATTTAACTACAGCGACATCTCAGTGAGGTCAGAGATGACCAGTGTAAACTAGTTGACAGTTGAACTTAACCTACAAATATTTGAATGTCTTGAGATGCCTTTCCCTTCAGACATTTGAGGTTTTTGTGAAGCAATTACCCCCTTTTTACAAAAAACATGGCAGACATACTTTTAGTATGCTAATGCGCTGGAGTGAAAGAATGCCATTTATGGCAGAAAGCCTTTCCTGGTTCTCAGCATAAATACAGCTCATTTTCTTTAAGTATCTTTGTGAGGTACTGACTCATCTTAGTAAATTATGTTGTTACATTAAAGAAATATATTTACTTAAAGTGAGAAAAAGTCCGCCCAGAAGTCTTCAGAATTCTTGAAGAAAGTTTTTCAAGTGTAACACAAGATCTCTGCCAATCAAGACTCAAACTTCCAGGAACAGCACTTCTTTAAATATGAGGACTGAGCAGGCAGAAAGCTATGCAACAAAATGGTGTTTTAAGAAGTTATTTATGCTCTTGGACGTGACATTCTTTCCATATCCGTGCAACTTCACATGCAATAACTGCGTATTTTGATGAACAGAAAAGATGGAGAAATACCACAAAGGCATAGATGGTCAAATTTAGAGACCCCTATTTAGGTTGCGTATCAACAAAACCCCTTTTTAAAAATAAGATCTCTTCAGAAGCTCAGCAAGTAAAGTTTAGTCCTCAGGAGATCCTTTCCTGTGAGCAGAAGGCTGAAGATCACAACTGTTCTTCCATGCAAAATCTCCAGTCCTGGTGCCAGGTTTACAGAGTAACGTTCCACGAAGAGCAGATGGATGTCCAAGTGCTGGCTCTCATGATGTCAGTTATGATAATAAACCTTAGGCAAATATAACTGCCCTATTAACTTCCACAACCTTCTATCATGGGAATGAAGCAGTATTTCTGTAGCTTTTCTTAATATTCTAAACATTTCTTCTTTCTAAATCTATGTGGATAGCCAATATAGAAGGAATCATAAATCTGAGAGCTATCTAAAAAGAAAGTAAAACAGTATCTGTTTCAATGGAAGCATAACTTGAGACATGGGTTCAAACTTAGGTAAGAGACAAACTATTATGCTGGTCATAAAGTCAAAAGTCATTACCATGTAAACATAAATAACTTGTACTGCAACTAAGCTAACAGAAAATGTTACAGCTATGATAAATGCTGACCTGATGGAGAACAAACAAACATTCTCTTCTGCATTTAGGAGAGAAGCTACCTAGGAAGCACCAATAAACTGTACATCTCATGAAAAGGTACAATTTCAGTCATTGTATAATAAAGAGGTTTTTGAAAGGACTGTATCCTGGTTTATGTTCTCTTTCCACACAACAAGCAGAAATTGCTATTATAATTAACACAGGCAAGGCACAGGCACTGCTTGACTTTACTACAGATATTCAAAGACAGTTTCTAGTCAGACACTCACTGGATTTAATTTAAGACATCATACTTCCAATACAGGAGAAAAAAACCCCTATTGTTTCTGGAACAACAAACCTGGCAAACAGTCATGGTCCTAAAACACCAGTTTTCAGTGACTTAGGTTCTTTTGATTTGTTCATTCTGACCTCTGAGTAAGTCAGGTGTGACCAGCAGTATTAAGTAGCTTTGCCATCCATTATGTTGAAGGAATGAACACTTGCCTTGACTGTAATAAGGTCATCAGCTTAGATGTGATGGAAGTACAGCATAAAGACCAAGTCCTCAATTAAAACAGAAATTTCTCCAGAACAGCCAGTATTTCATTTATCCTACAGATTAACTTCCAACTTTATTTAAAAAAAAAAAGTCACTCTAAAAGAATTCCAGACTGACCTTAAAAATGGGCCTGTTAAAAAAATCTTTTATTGACTTTAAAACTTCTCATCCTGTCCTATTCCCAAGCATGTCTTCGCTCTTCTACCCCCTCTTCTCCTGCCTACACAACTTGCCTGAGTGACGCCAGCCCAAGTCTCCTACCCCGTCCTGTTCTGCCTTTATGTGGGAATCAACAATAAAGAGCATGAGAATATGTGGCAGGATACAAAGCACTTATTCACTATCTTTAGTCATTAAAAGCTGACTAAAATTCAGTTCAATTCATAGTATCTTTGTCTAACAAATGTCCCAGATAACAATATATTCAGAAAACTGTCAAAACCCCAACTTCATTATTTCCTGGCATGCTATGTACTATATTTGGAAAGAAGGGGCAGTAAAGAATTCTTGCTTTTATAACCATGTTCTACTAACACAGCAACAAGAAATTCAGGTACTTAAGTAACACACAACTTACCGAAGTTAACATGACAAACAGAAGTCACATAGAAAAAATGTAACTTACTGACATGCCTCTTAAGAAGTTACACAAATACAAAAAAATCCCACACATAATTCTCTCCTGACCCTGCCCAGTGGACGTGGGTGTTTGAAGAAGAGCACAGAGAATGCAGACATATTTATCCTCTCTTTATATAGCACCAAATAAGAAAGTATGTGCTTACTCTGTTTAATAAATCAATTTCTTCCTTCAGCTTTCCAATTAGTTCCTCTTTGTCCTGTGTCATCTTCATTAATCTTGCATTTTCCTGTCTCTCCTTTGCAAGTTCCTAAAACCAGAATATAAAATAAAGTTTGAAGTGTTTTGGTTTTAAGAGACAGTTTTAAGTTATTACCATTTCAAACAAAGAAGAAAAACCCACATGTTTACCTATAATTCCTTTTCTACAGTAAGTCAAACCCATGTCCTCAAGCCCTTACATTTCATGAACCTGAAGAACCATGTCTAAGAAAATATTTTACCCACAGCAAACATGTGTGATACCTCTGATTCCAGAGATAATGTTTTAATTAATATTAACTTAAGCATGAACCCAAAATTGGACAGGGGCCCAAACCAGAAGTAAATATATGTAAAATATCAGCTTCCAAACTTGTTATATTGGAGGGAGATTAGTCCTTGCTTTTCCTGAGTGTGAGAAAAAATGAACATATCCATTAGGAATTCAGTAAATCAGGGTCCATGATACCAGAAGAAAGCCCTTAAATTTTCCTTTATTTTCTATGTTACCAGCATTTAAATATTTCAGAAGGAAGCCGATTTGGAAGATAGCATTATGGTATACTTCACTCACATCAGGCTTCTTCAAATCTTAAAAAAATAGTAATTTCTAAAATATACTTTATTTTAATCCATGTCCAAAAAAAAAAAAAATTGTGTTTACTTAGTAAATTTCACCCATACAAATTCAAGAATATTTGGCAAGTTACCCACAAAAATCCACTTCAGAGGAAGAGAGAAAAGCCAGTAATAGTTTACACAGATGCCTATTTAGCAAAATACTGTTTTAGGCAAATAACTCATCTTTAACATTATTACATTTTCCTAAAACTGTTTGTATTAAGAATGTCTGAAATGATGAAAACTTTGTTTTAAATATGTGTTTTAAATGTTTAAAACTTTACCAAACAACAGGGTAGTAATTAAATTGTATAATATTTCAGTACCTTAAAAAATCCAAAACAAGAATTAGACCAGAAACAGGCTTGTGGATTTTCTAAACAGCCAGTGAGCTCCTCTTTCCAAGTTATTTGCCCTCTGTTTGTGTGTCACGAGGTACATAAGAGAAACAGGCAGAACACCGCTGTCTCTCCAAGTGTATTATCTTTCCCTCAACTATTTCTCACTTAAGTACCAAATGAAAACTAAACATCTGTGTTTAGAAAGTTCACCTTCTAGTCTGACTCCTTATATATTTATATAGACATAACCATCTGTACTTCAAGCATTTAGCATAATTTCTATGTATTTTACTTGTACATTTCCCCACAGAGTTTCAGAGGTGGTTTATTTCACATGTATGCCACACATATGTTAGTTGGTACTTACCCTTTCAAGTTCCTCAATCCGCTTTTCCAAAGCGTTACTTGGTACAGAACTGCCAGAAGAATTTGCATCCCTGCTGTATCTGCTGTAAGTTGTCCTGTCTGTTCGGGAATATCTATTTGGAGCATCGTCTTCTGGCGCAATAGCTGTGCTACAGAGGCAAACAGCAAAGCAGACACCTATTCAAACATTTAATAAAATGGAAATGATAGAAGTAACAAGAAGTGCTTTCCAACGCACTCAATAGGTCAGTCTAAGAAACTGCAGAGAACTCCACATCTCTTGTTTTGCCAAGGACTCAGTAAATCACTGCCTCAGGGAGTGGCATTAATGCAGCTCTCATCACACAGGTAACTTTAAACACATACTCATACTTAGCGTATCTTATTTCTAAAGATTTTAAAGTTTTAATGTGCCATGGTTCATAAAACCCAAGCTAACAACTTTACTTTAAAAAGGAAAGTACCACTATGGAGTTTAAAGCAAGTATCTTTAAGCAGATGAAAACATAAAGGATGAAAACCAAGTACATGTCTAAAATGTAAGAAGCTTACACATATCAACTGACTTCTCAGGAGCTATGGATTTGGCCCATAAGGAACTGGAAAGCAAACCTAAGTGAGAAAGTAATGTGGCCCAACATACCCATTTTATGCCATTTCCTGATATTTTACCTCAGAATTTGGATACACAGCACCTTGTGACAGCTCAGTTGGTGGGCACTCATTAACAGGTGGTACATCTTTGGTTTTAGATCAGGTGTCATTCCTTAAAAATCACTGCCATGGAATTTTAACAGATAAGCATTGCAAATGCACATAAGCTAGTTTTAAAAAAAGCTTATAGGTTCTCCATTATGATTGCTACATACAAAACCAGTGCTAATTTCACAGATTCGCAGAGTGGAAGGGGTTGGAAGGGACCTCTAGAGATCATCTAGTCCACCCCCCCTGCCAGAGCAGGATCACCTAGAGTAGATCACACAGGAACTAGTCCAGGCAGCTTTTGAAAGTCTCCAGGGAAGGAGACTCCCCCACCTCTCTGGGCAGCCTGTTCCCCTGCTCTGTCACCCTCACCCTATGCTTTTCAAGCTCTGGGACTCCTGGGGGCTGGTCTTAGCAGTAAAGATCAAGGCAAAGGTGGCATTCACTAACCCAGCCTTCTCCATATCCCCGGTCACCAGGGCACCCACTTCATTCAGCAGTGGGCTCACATTTCCTCTGGTTTTCTTTTTTCCTCCAATATCCTTGAAACAGCCTTTCTTGTCCTTGATTTCTCTTGCCAGGTTTAGTTCTAAGGAGGCCATAACTTTCCTTATCGCATCCTTACATCCTCTGACAATATTTTTGTATTCCTCCCAAGTGATCAGCCCCTTCTTCCATGTTCTACATAATTCCTTCTTCTGCTTAAGTTTATTCATTAGCTCCCTGCTCATCCATGAAGGTCTCCTAGCTCTTACTTGATTTCTTACTCTTCGGGATGCTCCGCTCTTGAGCTTGGAGGAAATGGCACTTGAATATTAACCAGCTCTCTTGGGCCCCCCTACCAACTAAGCCCTATCCTACAGGCCTTTTCCAAGCAGGTCCTTGAAGAGGCCAAAGTTAGCCCTTCTGAAGCCTAAGGTAGTGATCCTGCTTGTGGCTCTGTGCCTGCTGCATATGATCCTGAACTCCACCATCTCATGGTCACTACATCCAATGTTGCCCCCCACCTTCACATCCTCGACAAGTCCCTCCTTGTTTATCAGTACAGGTCCAGCACGCATACACATGAGAAGTCAAGCATTTTCAAAGTCACAAATTTAACATTGCTCTTCCCTTATCTATTTTCTTAGCAATGTTATTCACCTTTAGTGTAGAATGTAATGAATAATTAAGAACAGCAGAGTGTCCTGGGACCAGGTAGAGAGATAAAGATCTTTCCTTTCTCAATCCACCAAAAACACACTTCTTTGACTTTGAAAACATACAGCTAAACAGCCAAAGACAAAAAAACAAACAAACAAACAAACAAACCAAAAAAACCCCCACGACTTTATTCAATCTCCACCAGGAGACTGGTCCTAGGCAACCAGCTCCAGGTGGCCCGACCAGCCTGCGGTTCTGTGAAATCCCAGAGCTGAAATATGTATACAGTGCATTTCTAGAGCACTTAGGAAAAGAATGAAAGGCATTCTGAGTATCCCTACAACATTTCCTTTAAAACATATATGATTAATACGTTCATTTAACAGTTTTGCATTTCGTAACTCTAGAAAACCCCTGCTGACAATGTGCAAATCTAGATGGATACAGTGTAAATCAAAAGCAGGAGTATCTGGCAAAAGGTTGTCTTTTCATGGATATAAATACTGTTTTGCTCCAGTATGTGTGAAGTTTCCAAGACACACTGACACAATTGTAAGGAATTTCGTAGCTTAATGTTATTACCATATTTAGCACTGTTTATTCTTCATCTAGAAGATTTTTTTAAAAAAACATTTCTAGGACCAGATATGCATGTTGCAACACATAAAAGAAATATTTTAGCTTAACTCTATAAATTCTAGACTATTTAGCTCTTTGAAAGATATGTTGTTTCATTCTGTTAACATCTCAAGGTTAGACCACACAAAAAAAGGCTCTATTCTTCATCACTGAAAAATGAACTCTTTTGCCAATATACTGGAGTAGCTCAGCTCCCGTGAGTGATATCGGCAGATGCTCCTACTGGAAAGTTAGAAGAAATACCTAGATAAGAAGGTTTTCATTAATACTAAAAATTAAGACATTTTCTATATTTTTCCTGAAACTCACACTCAAAAATTTCCTCACCTATTCCACTGGGCAGCAGACCCTATTGAACACATTTCAGTATCAGCAAGTACAAAGGATGTATCATGAAGACTTCTAGGAAATGGGATTTAAAAAAAAAAAAAAGCCACAACACACACCCCCACCCCAAAAACCACAACTACACTACACATTTAAGAAGTCATTAGTATATAATCGAACACAAGGAACGTGACAAAGTTCATTATTTTGGCTGTTATAACCAATGTCCAGTACACAGCAAAAGCAAAAAATGTACCATCCGAGACACAGCAGAAATATCTTTTCCAAAGAACGGAATTTTAGGTTTTACTACTGTATTCTGCTTTCTAGCATTCAAGTAACTTACCCACATGACTGTTTCAAAACTTGAAACATCTAGCCACATGCTAGGGCTCCAGGCAACAGTATTTCTTAAGTTACTTTTCAAGAAGTGTAGTGCAGCCACATACACTGCATTGAAGTACTCACTCAGAGAGTAGGAAGTGAGAATGCATCTGGATAGAAATGTCCCTCATTACTACTTCAATAGGGCATGTTCAACTAGAGGTTTAACAAAATTCAGCTTCTTATTCCACCAGCTGGCTTTCAGTTAAGTCACTATCAAAATCTCATTTTAAACACATATTCCTGTACTAGAATGCTGGAAACAGAAAACACTTTGGCAGCTTAAGAAAATTTGCTTTTGGAAGTTTTTTTCCTGGCTGTAGCTAAATAAAAAATTTTAGTGAAAACAACCTACATCACAGTTTGACTACTCTTACACAGAAACAAAAGTTCTGCTTCAAAACTTCGAGCAATTTTGTTTAATATAAAATAATATCAGTTATTCACACACAGGCAAGGTTCAACAGCAACATTACAAACAGCTGGAATAAATCTCGCTCCTTCCAACGCCTCTGTGGTTCTTTCACTGTTTTCCTGAGGCAGTGTCCAAACTGAAATTTCATCCAATTAAAATCAACCAGTCAAAATCAATTTCATTGATTTCAACTACAGCACATTTATTTTTATTACCAGAATCTTGTAGCTATACTTGATTTGGAAACTCCTAATTAACTACGTCACTGAAATCCTACCAGCTGCCAACAGCTTCTTTGGAAGAATTGAGCAAAAGACAGTATTTCTAAACAGGCCACCTTGGACTTCTGTTACTTCAGACTGCTCAAGCCTAGGAGGTGGCTTTCACAGCTGAGCTAAGGAAAGGCAGTCTCATCTTCCCTAGAGCTACACATTCCTAGCCTCCTCCACTGTTCCCGGTTCTGGCCTTTAGGTGACCAAGTAGGAAGCCACTCAAGGAGCTGATGCAGCAGTGCCGCAGCCCAGCTAAGGAAGCCATCCATTGCCTTCGAGCCACAGTGTCTCCCTGCAGCATTAATCACCCTGCAGCATCAATCACCCTGCCCAGCTGCATAAGCAACTGGCACAAGGGACAGTGAGGAACTGCAGTACCTCAGCTCAGACCATCACAAACTCCTGCAGAAATAAACCCTAAAATGTCTCTTTCTTCAGCATTGGCTGAAAAGGGGATACAGAACTCAAGAAAAGCACCTGGAGTGACCCCAGACTATTTTCAGTGTTTGTATCTGCACAGTCACGATCCCAACGTAACAAGCTAGGTGAGACAGTGCTGCAACAGCCAACCCCGCTGCAAGGTTCCCAAACACAGGCAAGTAGGCAAGCCTGGGCATAACGTGATGAAATGGCATTTTGCAGCTCTATTTTCTTTGAATTAGTGAGACCAAGGTTAGCACGATGGAATGTAAATTGTTACAGTTTGAGCTTTGTAGTAATCTAAAAACATTGAGCATGAGAGTTTCAGCAGGGCTTTAACATCTCCTTCACAGCACTTCGAATGAGCGCTCTCAAAACTAGCTGCTGCTTCTCTTATGATCTCTTCTTCCTCATTTATTCTCAACTCCTGCATGAATATTAAACTCTAGTACAAAGTGGTCTTTTAGAACTAGTGGGTAAGGATCTCTGCCTGTTGAGTTCAGGTTAGTGTGCCATACTACCCGAAAAGAAGGGGGAAAAGCCCTCTGACATTTTGTCTGGAAGTCATAAAGCCATACCATATTGTATTCATTTCCACTAATAAACAAACCTATAAGGGGAACACACCCCTGAACCACTAAGAGATTTTCATCTAACTCTTTCTGTAAACTGATCCAGCCTGATCTGTCTGATCCATGAACCATGCAAAAATCTCCTGAGTTATTTTAAATCCTGATTTGCATGGTTTTCTTTTCAATTTAAGCCATTTCATAAAGAAAATAAATTGGTTCAAAAGTTAGTAGAGAGTATTAAAAGTAAGCTGCTAAAACAAATTATCTGTACTTATAAAAATATTCCTATGTCCACATACGTATCTTGCTTTACTGTTACTTGCAAACAAACTTTTTAGTTCACAGAATGCAAGAGAAACATAATTAATTTATGTTTATATGTAGACTACACTCAATATTCCAATAAGCAGCATGCACATTGTCATTCTCTTGAGAAATCGCTGATGACACCAACTATGCTCCTAGCATCAGACCTGAATTGGAAAACCATTCTTAGTAACAGCAATGTGCTTGTTGCTTTAAAATAACTACTCACAGAGCAGCGCAAAAACTGGTAGACACAGTTAACAATAACAGAAGTTTGGAATGGCCAAGATGAGGAAAAGCTTAGGGAGAAATGAAAGATGAGGAAGTTGATACAGGCTAGCTAGGCGATTCTTCCGCTCTACTCTGCTCTTGTGAGACCCTACCCGCAGTTCTGCGTCCAGCTGTGGAACCCTCAACATCAGAAGGATATAGACTGGTTGGAGTGAGTCCAGATGAGGCCACAAAGATGATCAGAGGGCTGGAGCACCTCTGCTATGGGGACCGGCTGAGAGAGTTGGGCTTGTTCAGCCTGGAGAAGACTTTGGGGAGACCTTATTGCAGCCTTCCAGTACCTGAAGGGGGCTACAAGGAAGCTGGGGGGACTTTTTACAAGGGCCTGTAGTGACAGGACAAGGGGGAATGGGTTTAAATTGAAAGCAGGGAGCTTTAGATTAGATATCATGAAGAAATTCTTCATGGAGAGGGTGGTGAGGCATTGGAACAGGTTGCCCAGAGATGTTGTGGATGCCCCATCCCTGGATGTCTTCAAGGCCAGGCTGGATGAGGCTTTGAGCAACCTGGTCTAGCGGAAGGTGTCCCTGCCCATGGCAGGGGGGTTGGAACTAGATGGTCTTTAAGGTCCCTTCCAACCCAAACCATTCTATGATTCATTCTATTACCACTGAAGGATATCCACACATTTTAATCACATGAAGCTCACAGCAAGGGAGACAGTTTGGTGACAACTCCCAAATAAGCTCATGCAATGTCCTGCAGCCTTCATGTCAGCATGAACTTGAAGATCTGGTCAAGCTTTTAATAGGCCTTACAGTACCAGTCCAGATCACAACAAAACCATCATTTTCTTTTGAAAATATTTTATACCGTTAATCATGCAACAACAAAGGAACCCCTACACAAAACTTTGGAGTGTAAGTATGACCATTTTTAAAGTAAATTCAAAAGACAGACTACAATTATAGATTAAGATCCTCATCCCAAACTTTTATTTACTTTACTGCCTAAGGAGATAGGCTCAGTTTGCCCAAGTCAGCCAGAACGGAAATAGAACAACACAACATCAGTCAGCAGACTTCATTTGTAAACACATCTTCCAGTCAATGGGCACTCAACAAAACGGGTTTCTCAGCAATGTCACAGAAATGTTTAAACATGGATTGCTGCATCCATATAAGGCAAAGTTGCCAGTGCGTCTGATTAAATAGGTAGTAAAATCTGCGCAATTCCTTGAGCCCTCAAACATATTGAAAGAACAGCAATTCCAAGAGCCAGGAGGCTGGGTATCTCAAGGCAGACATGAAAGCAGCTATATAGGAAGGGAAAGGGAAGGTACTGGTAGCCCAGGATGGTATCAGTAACACAGGACTAGGAGTCAGAAAAGGACAGAGGATGGAGACAGAACAAGGGGAAAAAACAAAGCCAGAAAAATACCCAAGAGACAACTAGGACCTCAATGGCTAAATATAAACATACAAGAGAAATGGGGGGAGAGAAGAAAAGTTACCTAACTGGGCTAGGAAATGGAAACCAGTGAAGAAAGATGCTGAGATGAAGAGAGACCACTTCTGATGGGGAACATCAGGGGAAGAGAGAGAAAGCAAAAGATAAGGAGCAAGAGCAAGTAAGAATGGGGGGAGATGACATGAAAATTTCTGACGAATAATGCATCCTTCCTGAAGCAGGGAGGCTATAACAGACCCCAAGAATTTAGGCAAACATTATCTTCTAACTGTTGCTGTCATATGCCTATGAAGTTTACTAATGGTGTCTCTTCCCCACCCAGAGTACTGACCACCTCCTGTCAGAGCAGCACAAGTAACAGTATCATATGGGATCTCAAACTGGTAGGCCCCATGTGAGAACATGCTTTGTTCTCAATTTGCTTTGAAAACCTAAGGGAGCAGACCCAAAACTGCCAAAAGCACATGAAGTTGAACATATTTGAGCCTTCAAGCAGCTTATGGCCTCAATTCAACCTTTTTGCATTCACATTCCAGTACCAGGTATAATCACAGAATGGCATTTTGGGTTTCCAAAAGACTTCTGTTCTATTTGGGACATAAAGATCTAGACAGCAGTGAATGAATTACTGTAGAGGAGGCTGTTTTCTTTAGGACCTTCCCTTATTGCAGATGCTGGAAGGGACAAAAGCCAAACAATGCCAGAATAGCAGAAGACACTGGTCCTGACTCCTTCCTTCAGAGTTCACATCAGAAAGCAAAGCCACTGGGACCTATACTTGGTTCAAGTACTCTTACCTGAAAAATTATTTGGGGGGAAGGGTAGAAAGTTTCAAATACAGAGGAAAATCAATAGATACTGTTAACTTTAATCACAGTGGGCACTGAGTCTCTATAACATATGAGCTACTGTATACCTCACGGACATAGAGTTTGATTAAAGCCCTCTTAGTAATGGTGAGCAGCGGGCTCTGTGCTGACCTCACAGGAAAACAATCCTTTGTTTTCAACATGAGGTTTGAAGACAGCAATGAGTAAGGTAGATGGAACATACATAACAAAATATTGAACAGCAGCTCACAGCAGGTCAGATTCCTCCTGAATGTCATGCCAGCGCTGAGGAGGAAAATTCACGAACAAAGAATGTACATCCTATACATGACTAAAGTTGACCAAACAAAGACTGCACAAGTCTTATTTTGGCATTTTCTAGCTTTGGAGTTTCCTATTTTTGAAATGCTAATCAGAAGAATTATCTTATTTTCAAATAAGCTACGAATGCGATTGCGCAAAGTTCTATTTATTACCACACCGCACACAACCAAGTTTTTGCAAGTGAGTGAGTATATACAGCATGTGAACAGAGTGAAGATAAGGTTTATGAAAACCCACAAAGCACTATGACACACACCACTAAGTATTCGGCAGATACAAACAGCAATGAAATTCTGCACGGGGACTGAAGAGGAAATGGAGAGACTGTGTTTGATTAATAAGAAAGTAATCATGAAATTATATAGTTATTATGGTTGTGACAATAAGTCCACCCATTCCGCAATGACAAAGTGATTAAAAAACCCTACAGCAATAAAAAAGCAACACTCAACTAGGTTTATGAGAAGCCAGGAGTATAAATATAAAAGATAGCACCACACTGAGGAACCTAAAGCATAACAGAATAGGTTATTATTTTTTTACAGTGAGTGGTGGTGAGGCACTGGAACAGGTTGCCCAGAGATGTTGTGGATGCCCCATCCCTGGAAGTGTTCAAGGCCAGGCTGGATGAGGCTTTGAGCAACCTGGTCTAGTGCAAGGTGTCCCTGCCCATGGCAGGGGGGTTGGAACTAGATGGTCTTTAAGGTCCCTTCCAACCCAAACCATTCTGTGATTCTATAGCTGAACCAAGTCTGAGGGGTGGAAAATACACTGGTTAAGACTAGATAATTGTAGGTGTCCTCTGCACTTACTTCTACAGCCAGGAGATATATATATATACGCAGATGAATTAACCTCCTACACAGTTTACCTGAGTAAAGGAGAGCTAGAAAACATTCAAGTATCAAAGAAAAATATGTTTACACAAATCTCCTGCTTCAGTTGACATATTTTAGACCCCATACTACCATTACATTTTCCTAATAGTTGTGGTAGCTGTGTCAATATTATTTCCACATGGGCAAAAATTCCACACACTGGTCAGGTGCATCAAGCGATTCTGAAATATTTTCATGATTGAACATGTTGACCAATGATCAGGGTAACACTTGGCTCTAAGACAAACAAATAATAAACAGGACATGCTACATGTGGGCAGCATCCTCTACAACTGAAACAGTAGTACGACAAAACCATAGACACTTCTCTCAATATTACTGTGGAAAGCAACAAAATCATCCTCCTGTATGAATCTCTAGAAGATGACGGATCATAAATTAACTATGAAACTAAGAAATCCTCGGTAATGTGTAGTCAGATTAGACGTTTGCTTCAGAAACTGCTTTGCACTAGTAAGACCAGCAAAATACTAGCTGAATTTATTTTAAAACAGTAACTTAATAGAAGGGTTTGGCTAAGTTTCCTGCATCTCTCAGGTCATTGCCCCAAAATCAGGCTACATATCTATAGCAGCAGTATGATGACCTCTATGACAACCAACCATTTAATCAGCTTTATTTCTGGCAGAACTGTGTACATAAAGAAATGTGTTCTGTACAAAGATCTCATACCTTTTATACCTGCTTGAAACCATCCTGGAGGAGTCCTGAAAGAAACAGAAAGGAAAAAGTAATTAACATTTTTTATTGTACTTCCAAAACACTTTATCACCCCATAGAAAATGAAGCTTGCAGTTAAGAGCAGGAGGTCCATGCCACAAACAGCTGCTGTACAGCTCAGTTATGTCTTTTCCTGACAGCAAAATAGTGCACAATACCAGGATTACTGTAACCAGGTTACTGCTTCTGAACACCAGCCTCAGAACCCTTACAGGACAGCTTCTGGTTACATCTTTAAATTGGATGCGCTTAATCATTCTCCAGCAGCCAGAACACACACAGCTTACCAAAACAGTACAGACCCTGCCACCAATACACCTTCACTACAACTACTAGTACGGAAAGACTTGTGCACTTTGATAGCTGTCCATCTACTAGAGCAGCAGAGGAAAACTGCTCTGAGTTGTCGGCACCACTGCTGTCCTTCTGGACAGAACAAAAACTGAAGCTGGCAAGTAGTACAGGGTTGAGACCCAAATCAATTTACTACATATCAGCTGCGTCATGGTAACTACAGGTATCCTCTCTGCCATGCTAACCCAGGTGTTGCAACCTTGCTCACCTCAGTTTCTCTCAGGCTAATCAGCCTTCTCCTGGCCCGTGCTGTTAAGCAGGTAGGCTACAAGTCTGTATGTGGACATCTCGTGTACTCAAATGTCAGACAGTGACTTGTCAAGCTACAGTAAGTCAGTTTTTACATCACGGCTCTCTAAGCACCCGCAGAGCCTTAATGCATTCTGACTACAAGGAATACTCTGCATCTCCTTTGATTGCTATTTGGAAATTATATTAACTGAAACACCAAGAAACAGAACACATTTTAAAGAAGGGTACAGATTCTTAAATACGAGTTCAATGGTGCAAAAGCTGTGCATCTGGCCCTTCCTTCAAAGATACATACATGGATTACTTGTCTTACCATATTTTTTCTATCTCAAGGTAAAGAATTTCATTACTGTTCAGATTCCCACAATGCAGTATATTTTTTCACTAAGACTACATTTTGTTTGGGTTTTTCTGTTTGGTTGGTTTTGTGAGTTTTGTTGTTGTTTTGTTTTTGGTTTGGTTTGTTTTTTGGGGTTTGGGTTGTTTTTTTTTTAATTTGAAAAGAATTCCACTATCCTTTTATTCTGGCTCTGTAAAGATGGAAACAGAAACAAAAAGAACAGTGGGGAAAAGGGCTCATTTATTCTTGCACAATACTTGAAAAAAACCCAATGCATTATGTACAAATGAGAAAACCTCAAACAATATATTTGCATCAATAATGCTATCCTTGTAGCTTCCCAATATCAGTCTGATCACATAAAAAAATTAAGGCATGTTTCAACTGGTAAATGATGGCTCAGATTAGAGAGTAAGTCCACAAATATTTTTTTGATGTTGTAAGAATAACAGAAACCAATTATGTTATTAGTCATAGACAAAACTCCCCCCCAGCATCAGCAAATACTAGGTAAAAAGTCAGGAAAGAGCGTTTAAGGAGTTAATGAACTGAAAAACTGCCTTTACTGGAAGAAATAATGGCAAAGCATGAAGTTCTGTCTATTTAAGACACTTAACTACAGACAAAAGAATAAATGAGTTCTCAAAATAAGATGCAAGAGAAATTCCATTCACGCTGAAAATCCTGTAAAACATTACACTACCTTCACTGATCAGTGTATTAATGTCTTTGTATGTAAATAAGCAAGCTAAAAAAATAGTTTGCAAAAACATCTGTATTACAGAAACATAACTTTATCTTAAAAGTATTTAATTTTATAAAGGATTTTCAACTTCTGCAATATGTGCTACGCTTCCCCTAATATAAGCAGAAAAACAATATTCAAAAAGTTAAGTCATGGGAATTATTTAAAGAAACACACAAAGTGGTATAAAATTGCTGTTTTAACAGTCGTAACTGTTTTATCATTGATGACACTGTCTGAAAAGTAGCAATTCACAGCTATGAAACTGCAATCTCATTTCACCTCTAAAAGGGAGACAGAATTTTAAATAGTATCAATGCTATTTTTAAAGTTTACTAAGGGTATGTTATCTTTGAAAGGTCATGGCAGTAGAGGAGGTTTCTGAGGACTGGAAGGAAGTAAATGTCATTCCTATCTTCAAGAAGGAAAATGCAGGGAACTACAGACCAGTCCTTACCTCAGCCCTGAGTAGGTGATAGACAATCCTGAAGGCCAAGGAGGTGAAATCAGTATAGATATATGAAGGGGAAATCATGCCTGACTGACCTGACAGCCTTCTACACGAGATGACTGGCTCAGTGGATGAAGGGAGAGCAGATGCTGTTTATCTCAATTTCAGCAACACTTGCAGCACCTTCCCACATAACATATGTAAAGGCAAACTCCTGAAATATGGACCAGGTAAGCAGACTGTGTGGTGCAATGAAAAGTGGCTAGACTACCAGGCCCAAAGGGTTATGAACAGCAGGACGATGTCCAACTGGACACCAGCCACTCAGCAGGGGTTGATATAGGGGCCAGTACTGTTTAACATCTTCATTAATGACCCAAACGATGGGAGAAAGTGCACCCTCAGCAAGTTCTCAGACTACACAAAACTTGGATGAGCAGTTAACAAATACATCAGATGGCTGTGCTGACATACAGAGGGTCACTGACAGGCTGGAAATCAGGCTAACAGAGACCTCATGAAGTTCAAAAAAAGCAAAATGCGAAGCCTGGCGCCTGGGGAGGAATAACCCTAAGCCCCAGTACATGCGGACTGGTTGGAAAGCTGCTGTGGAGAAAACGACCTGGAGGGTCCTGGTGGACACCAAGTTGAACATGAGCCATCAGTGTGCCCTTGCAGCAAAGGCGGCCAGTGGCATCCCCAGGATGTGCTGCCAGCAGGCCGAGGGAGGTGATCCTCCCCCTCTGCTCAGCCCTGGTGAGACCACGGCTGGAGTACTGGGTCCACTTCTGGGCGTCTCCGTATGAAAGACATGCTGGAGAGACTCCAGCACAGGGCCACCCAGATGATTAAAGGCTTGGAGCATCTGACACATGAGGAGAAGCCGAGAGTGCTGAGAATTGGGCTTGTTCAGCCTGGAGAAGAGAAGGCTCTGAGGAGACCTCATTGCAGCCTTCCAGTACCTGAAGGGGCCTACAAGGATGTTGGGAGAGGACTTTTTACAAGGGCCTGTAGTGACATGACAGGGGGTAATGGGTACAAATTGAAAACGCGGAGGTTTAGATTAGGTATCAGGAAGAAATTCTTCACAGAGAGGGTGCTGGAGCACTGGAAGAGGTTGCCCAGAGAAGCTGTGGATGCCCCATCCCTGGAAGTGTTCAAGGCCAGGCTGGATGTGGCTTTGAGCAACCTGGTCTAGTGGAAGGTGTCCCTGCCCATGGCAGGGGGGTTGGAACTAGATGATCTTTAAGGTCCCTTCCAACCCAAACCATTCTGTGATTCTATGATTCTATGAATGTTCAGCCTGGAGGAGAGAAAGCTCAGGAGGTATCTTGCCAATCTGTGTAAACACCTGATGTGGTAAAAAAGGTGGAGTCATACTCCACTGTGCCCAGAGAAAGGATATACAGGAAATTAACCTTCAACATAAGAAAATACTTCCTTACTGTAAGATTAAACAGTGAAGCAGGTTGCCTGGAGAGGTTATGGACTTTCTGTCCTTGGAGATATGAGAGTTTTCCATCTATATTTTCTCTCAGCTTATTGGTTTAAGTGAACACATACCTACCACTTGGCAGCTTTAAAGAATTTAATTCTGTCCTCTAATATTGTTACTAGGGACTTGCCTATCTGAACTTTTACATACAGACAGGACTGTTGTCATGGTTTAAGCCTGGCTGGCAAGCACCACACGGCTGCTGGCCCACTCCACGCCCCCCAGCAGGATAAGGAGGAGAAAATACAAGGAAAAGCTCGTGGGTCAAAAAAAGGACAGGGAGGGAACACTGAGCAGTTATGGTCACGGGCAAAGCAGACACCATTAACTAGTGACTACATACTGGTGTAAAATTACAACAACATAACGATATTCCTGCAACATGCAAGGGTAAGGTTTGACTGAAATTATTAACAAATTTCATTTGTTACCAATCAAATAAGAGTATGATAATGAGAAATAAAACCAGCTCTTAAAAACCTTCCCCCTGTCCCTCTTTTCCTCCCGGCCTCAGCCTTGCTCACAGTTTCTCTACCTCTTCCCCTGGTCAACACAGGGGGACAAGAAATGGGGGTTGTGGTCAGTCCATCACACAACGTCTCTGCCACTCCTTCCTCCTCAGGGGGAGGCATCCTCACACTGCTCCAGCGTGGGGTCACTCCCATAGGACACATTCCTCCACCAACTTCTCTGTGAGCCCTTCCCACAGGCTGAGTTCCTCAGAAACTGCTCCACCGTGGGTTGATTCCACAGGGTGCACTCCTTCAGGAGCAGCCTGCTCCAGCACAGGCTTCCCATGGAGTCACAGGCTTCTTCAGGCACAGCCGCCTGCTCTGGCGTGGGGCCCTTCCCCTGGCCGCAGGGGGGGCTCTGCTCCCCCATGACCCTCCATGGCTGCAGGGTCACAACCCGCCCTCTCACCACAGGCTGCAGGGGAACCTCTGCTCTGGCCACCTCCTCCCGCCTTCCTGCACTGACCTGGGGGTCTGCCTGGCTGTCTCTCTCACATCCCACTCTGCTCTCCGCTGCCGGTTTTCTTTGCTTTTCCCCTCTTAAATATGTCAGTCACAGAGGTGCTAATTGGCTTGGCTGTGGCCAGAGGCAGTTCCAAATTGGAGCCAGGGAGCTTCTAGCAGCTTCTCACAGAGGCCATCCCAGTGGCCCCTCTACCAAAACCCCAGCACACAACCCAACACAATTGGAACAGCCTGATTTTAGCTTTGAGGCAGTCTGCAGTGACTGACAAGGTGATTTGACTCTGATGCTTGTGAAGAGTCTCAAGTAGTTTTATCTAATATATTAAGATACATGTTCATGGTATATGAAAACTGAAATGTCCTGTCAGTAATA